TCTGTGTTAGCAATCGAGAAAAACTGTAATCTTGTGTACCTATAGAGTAGTATTGCATCGTTCATTTTCATCATTTTATTAGATTTATAAAAGACATGTAGGCTACAGCTTTATGCTTCTCTCCGAAGACAGTCGAGTGCGTTATCTTTCCCTCACAACCAAAAACACACTTCTTATGTTTCGTGGTCTAAAAACAAAATGACAAATCCTTCTTTACCAAGTCCTGTGCAGTGCTGGCGATGACTTCCGTAACCCAAATGAAGTGGCAGATAGTGTTCGTACAAGGAATTCTGCCCTTTATGATATCATGCAGGGCCATACTCTAGGAAAAAATAAAACTTTCAGAAACGAACCCTGAAGGTGTGTATTTGGCACAGAAATACTCCGTCATCGGTCCAACTCGTTTTTTGAAACTCTTGCCATGGTTAGCATGAGAATCCAACTCTTTAACAATGTAAATAACTCAGAATGCATGAAATAGCATTAGACATCCCATTTAATTACATGAGTTTTAAGAATATTGATGGGTAGTAACAGTGAAAATATCCTTTTTAAATGATTTTATAGCTTTGGCTAAAAACTACTGGTGTTTTTCGTAATTTGTCAGTCTCTAACAGTCAAGTCTCTTTTCTCATTAAATTTTTGCTCACTCCTCCTAACAGAACAGAGTATCATATTTCAGGTCCACTTACATCTCAGACTCGGCTTTGTAACAGATGGTCTCACATTCATCTTCCTTGTGCATGTCACATACAGTGCAAAGTAATGCAGTATCTTTAGGATGCTTGACACTTGCACCCTGACTAACTGAGCCAAGACAGCACTGTAAATCCTTTGATGTCATCTTTGGGTTCGTGGCGACTTCCTGCAGTATCTTTCAATCAGCTCTTGGGATGAGCCTAGCCGGGGTAGATTGCCAGTTTTGTGAAATATTTTCCATTTGTAGATGAATTGTCGATTATCTTTCAGTGTGGATGTGACAGTGAAGTGATGGATTACAAAATGCTTAGAAATGGACACGAAATCCTTTCCAAGGCTCACAACAGCTAAGACCAAACCAGGCCACATGTTTCTGATGTTTATATAAGTCTTGCTAGTCTTTCTTAATGTTTTAGTCATCTAATTTCAGGTATTTAATGCAACGACAAAGGCAGAGCTGGACTAACCATTACAAGTCTAAAATGCATTTCTGTTTGTTTAATCAGTATATAATGTGATTTTTCATTATTCATTTTTAACATGCTGTATATCGCCTTTATCTTTTATATTTTCAACAGTATAAACAGATCACATCTGAATAAATAAGAATGTAAACACAATAAGATGCATGACTACAAAAATCAATATAGCAAACAAAGCTATATAAGCTTTAAGAAATAATTAATAAGAAATAATAAGAAAAAAAATTTCGCTGAAAAAAAACCCCCTAAAACTCGCTAGCTATGTTAATCCACACTGTTATTTAGTTTGATTGGGGGTTTATTTGGCTTTCTTTTTCATTTGTTTTTGTTTAAATGTTTAGTTGTGGAACTAAAACTTAAATCGTCCTGTTGAAAAAAACGAATCGTAGACAGCACACAAGTGTGATTGTAAAACCATCACACACAATACATCTGTTTGTGGTAACTGAGTGTTTGAACAGAGCAGATGGCGGTGGACAAGTGGACGGCCCAGCCCTCTTCCCTGACACATTTGAATTCTGTGACTGTAATCGCATTTCACCTTTTGGACTCAAATAACACTGTGGATCAATTTACAACTAAATGCATCCTATCTGTTTCTCGCTTATTCATGCTTTCACCCTAGCACTATTCTTTATCTCAACTTTTCTCTTCTTTGTGGTCGTGTTTGTTGTAATTGTCTTCCTTAGTAAACAGCTCAGAAATAATGAGGCCCTGGTGTAATGCAATCAGCTCAGGAATTTTTTTTTTTTCCCTTCGTTTTGTTCACAGAATACCATAATAATGCAAATATAATCACGCCTACTCAGAAGTTGTGATAACCATATAGAGAAATCACACATTTAAACATCAAGCATAGCGTTAGTTCTGGCAGGTCACGTTAGTCAAGCTCGCATCAGCTGATCCCCATCTACCTGTAGGAATACGACACCTATCTAAGCATTCATATATAAGGTCCCTCAGTATTATCAGCAGTTTTCGCATTGCTCAATAGCTAACTACCCTCCTCATCCCCACCTCCTCCTCTGTCAGTCAGGATTCAGCCTTCTGATTATCCTTTGAATCAGACTAATTCTAAAATGTGTACATAAAATTATTGAACTTTAACGATATCTGCAATACATTTATGTTGATTCTGTTCTGTGTACCCGTTATCGCTGCTCTCCCTGCTCTCATCCATGCTAGGCTGCATGGATGCGCAGGGAGTTCTTGCCCAGAACGGAACCATACCGCCAATCCAAACTGTATGCTAATTGTCAATCATCTTTGACGATAGTGGTCCTGACAGAAATGACAGAAGGGATCACGTACAGTCAAAAATACACCCTGACAGAGTGATCAGGTCTTGCATCATCCTGCAGGTCCCTGATGTATCACTTGTGGGGTTTATTTTGTGAATTTAGCTGCAATGCAACACGTCTTTGTCTGTTTGAAATTCTCTCTTACAGGCTTTTTTCTAATCTGGGTTTTCCTGAACATTTTGCCTTGAAGGGTTTTATTCTCACTATATAATGTAGCCTGCTCATTTTGAGCCATTTTTATCACTGTTTTATCCACAGAAAAAAAATGGAATGCCTCTAACAAGTATATAGTTATTGTTTCTCAGAGGGCCTCTAAATATGAAGGGTTTTTTAACAGACAAACATACTACACATTAAAGAATTACCACATTAAAGAGTGGCACTTTTTTCCTTATGCAAATCGGCAATTTGAGTGCAGAATATTTTTTCTTTCTTTTGAAATTCAAGTTTTTCAGTTTATAATCACGTTTCTTCACAAACAAGTATTCCAAAAAATCTTTGTTTATTAGTTGAATTGGTAGTATGTTCATTCTCACAAATGGTCTCTCAGTTCATGCCTACGTTTAAAACACTTTTAAGACTGAAAACTTATAGCATCCGAAAAGTCCCAAAACTATTTTTCTGCCAGTGAGAGACAGAAGTTTTTATGCACATATCTGTCATTATGGCTCAAAGTTCACATCATTCAAAACTTTTCACAGATTCGAAGTGGAGCCCAGAATGCCAAAACTCTGAAACAAAACGTTTTCTTTCATGTAACAGTAAACTGTTACACTATATATAAGTAAACACTTATCTACGGCATCCGCTACTGAGTGCTGGCTTCTCACTCATCTGTGAAGTTTTTACACATTCACCTTGTTCCTCCAGTTCTTGCTCAAGTCTGAGAAGATTTTCTCAGCAACACCATTCACCCAATTACATACCTTCAGAGAAACTCAATTGGATGACTTCACACGTGTTTTCAAAGTTTTGAGTTTCAGAAATGCCCAATTGAGTAAGTTCACTTTAGAGATAACGTGATGATGCATCTTCTCTCATGGGTGGACTTTATCTTCTGAGGAGTGCTGGATATGGACGTAGGCTTATTTAAACTGGCATCTAAAGCCATTGCAGTGCAAAGCTGATTTGCACAATTGGTGTTTATTTGCCGCAGTCCATACGCTGAATGTTAACATTACAGAATATACAGAATTATAGGTCTTCCTTTTCATTTTAAGTCTGTCTAGAGCCTGTTTGAAGCTGAAGCTCTACTCCACTCTACACTGGAGTGAAGTTCTACTCCATGCTGAAGACATATCAGCAAATCTAGCAAATGTAGGTGCAGGAGACAGTGTTTTGCAGCAGCAATTTTTTGCTGTATTTGCCATCTGCATTACATTTTTGCTTGTATTTGCCAGAGCGGCAGGTTTATGTCTTTTGAAGAGAGAATCTCAGTGGTGGTGTCTTTGGCACCTTGCCACAAGTTTACCGCAAACCCATAGGCTTTTGGTAAACCACCTCAGGATAAAGTTATTATTTCACTCTCTCCCCTTGTCTATCTCTTCACCACACTTCATTTTAGACTACAAGCAGAGAGGCTCTGGTCTCTCGTCAGCAAAATTGGAGCCTCCTTTTTGTGGGGATCTCAGAGGGCTGAATCATTTTCATGTTGAGTTTGTCCTGTTAGCCAGCAACTAAGTGCTTTTTAGGCATTTAAATCAGCTACCTTCAATTTTTTTCTTAATAGAACTTGCTTTTTACATTTTAGATCGGCATTCGTAATGCGCCATTAAAGTCTGCGAGTTGTAAATCATACCGATAATCTTTCATTCCTCACCCTAACACTGCCCATTGAATAATGAGCATCTCTGATTTATAATTCAGAGTGGAAACTGTGAATGTTGGGCATCATAACAAAATTGCAGGAGCGAAACTGTTGCTACTGTAGCAACTAATTAAAGCACACATGCACACACGCACGCATATTTACATCTTCGTTTAATTCCCTTTATTAGCTGCAGCCTGAGAATACAGATGGCTTTACTCTGTTGTGCATAGCAAACAGCCTTTTCTGGTGAAAGAATAGAATGCACATCCGCAAGAATTAGGAAAACGATATATGTTTTGCATTGTTGAATGACTGTAGTTCTGCTCCACGTTACAGAAATATATCAATGCATTTACGCTAATCCTGTCAGGTCCTTTGTTGTAGTGAAAAGCATGTTGTCTCAGGTGTGTTTTGTAGCCAGTAATCTTTCTTTGTGCTGACTGGCAGGAGATAATTTGGCGGAGAGACTAGCCGTCGCAGTGCAGGTTTTATCCTCTGTTGTATAATAGAGATATTCAAGAGCAGAAATAAGATCATGCCAACCTCATTATTCAGAGACCACCTGCTTCATTGCCTTCTTAATAATATGTGCTAGATAAAATAAAGAAGTGTTCGAGATTAATAATGTGTTTTTGTGCAGGTTGAATTAACAAAGGCAGTACTCCCACCCTGTTTATTACAGTATATTGCTTTTGTTCTGTGCCGCAGCCCGCAAGCTGAGGAAGATCGGACAGATGAAATGTCCGGAGGAGGTCGGCCCTGTTCAGGGCCCATCAGAGACACTCAGGTGCCTGTCGCCCAAGCCCAGCCTGACGTTCCACTCACAGTTGATCTTCCTGAACATCCTGGAGGCCATCGAGCCCGAGGTGGTGAATGCTGGCCATGATCATGCTCAGCCTGACTCGGCAGCTGCTCTCCTCACCAGCCTTAATGAGTTGGGAGAGAGGCAACTTGTCAAGGTAGTGAAATGGGCCAAAGGACTTCCAGGTAACTTAAGCATGTCACATTTTCACTTATTTCAGTTTTGCAGTTTTGCTTTTTATAAAGGGGTCAGTACCTTGATGCTCATTTTTTGTATCTATTAATAATAAATACAAAAAAAACACAAACATAAATTGTATAGAAATTTGATTAAACCTCTTCTATGATGAACATGTTTTTTGATAGTTTTTAAGGAAATATAATTAAAACTGTCAAGATAGCATAACAACAAAATAAGCCTTTTCAAAAAAAATGTTTGAAAGAATAATTTGAATTCAGTTATGTTTTGATGTAGGTGGATATAGTCATTTATTATTTATTTGGGAAAACAAATCAGCAACGCCACTTTACTGCTTATTTTTTAAAAGCTTTTTTTCCACTAAATCAGAATTATGTGGTCCAACATCATGCAGAAATATGCAGAAACATAAATCAGGTAATGAGAGGACCCATGCAGATGCTCATGACTTTGTAAAGATTAGCCAGTCTCTTATATCAGATCATTTGACTTTTTCATTACAAGACAAGGTTAGTAAAATGTCATGTGATGTGACCAAACACTTGATATATTTATCAATCAATAGTTAATGATATTTGCAACAAAAAAAAAACCTTTTTACCTTCAACAATAGAATGAAAAACCTGTTTTGAAAAAAGAAAATATGAAAATATTTGTTTTTACTCTTTTTTTTTTATTTTATTTTTTTATATATTTTTAAAACCCATATGAAACCAACATGAATACAAAATGTACAATTTGAAGGAACTAGATTTTTAAAGGATCTTTCTTTTTCTTTATATGTTACACACTTAATATTCATTGACACCAGGGCTGCTCCTTTGGGCGGTGCAAAGACCCCCCCCTCCCTCGCACCAGGTCTTGTGTCAGCTAAGGATGGCCCTGATTGACACAATAATATAATAACAAGATGGAGATCCTGCCTGGTGATTCAAGTCGGGACATCAGTGGAGAATTGTTTGTTTTTGTTTGTTTTTTCTCAGTGATTTAATTATGGTTTGTATTTCAATTGAGAGGCTTGAGAGGTGTTGTGTAATCTACTTCACTCTAATGGCTTTGATAAATGGCTTTTTGAAAAGCAAAGGCAGACTTCAGTCGTATGTAAAATGCAGTGGCAGCAAACCATCAAATACTGAGAGAAAAACAGCAGGATGGGTGATAGAAAGCGAAAGGGGTGTGGCTTGACAAGAACCCTTTTTTGAAGCTCAGTGTGACAGCGTATTATTGGTTGATGGAATCAGGTTGATGTGATTGGTTGCAGTTCTCCGATTTCCTGTTATTGATAGCATTAATAAAACTGTGAGGCCTGGCATTTTAATCTGCACTGAATCCAATGATAAATGTGTTATAAGGGAAGTGAGATCAAGTTTATCCCAGAACATTCAGCTTGTTTCCCCTTTGTTTCCTGAAAGCGGTGCATATGCTGCCTGGTCTTCTTCAAACAGTTTTATTTGGTTCAAGTCAATGTACTGAAAATCCTCGGTTCAGATTGACATGCATATTTTTTTTCTGAAAGTAACATCTAATTTATGGCATGAGATGGTGGAGCTGAAATAGAGTTGAAAATGCAGTTGGTCTCAAAAAATAGTGCCCAAGCTGCTGACAAACTGTAAGTTATAGGCAGCAAACACAAACCACAAATATCTCTCCCATCTCTCCTGTCTCTCAGGTTTCCGTAACCTGCATGTGGATGATCAGATGACAGTCATACAACACACCTGGATGGGAGTGATGGTCTTTGCACTGGGTTGGAGGTCCTACAAGAACGCCAACGCGCGGATGCTGTTCTTTGCGCCAGACCTGGTCTTCAATGAGTCAGTCTCATTCTCTTTCACATCCGCTCTGCTCTTATTTGCCTGTTTTCTTTTGTGTCCGACACCCATCTGTGTTCTGCATTGTTGCCTTCTCTCTCTCATTCCATTTTCTTCTTCTGTCCATTTGTTTGTCTCGTAAATGTTCTAATCCATCTTTCCGCTCACTCATTTTTCTTTCATTTCTCCTCAGCGACCCTTTCTCTACCTTATTCCTTCTCTCTATCTTCCTCTTTCTCTCCTGGGCAGGTACATATCTTGTACTTCATGCACACAATAAGTCTCGTCGTGGATTCTTCCAAGATTCATTTATAATTTACTGCTGGCTTATTATGGTGTGGAGGATCTTTGTCACAAACACAATCCCAGGAGAGATTGGATTTTTTGGGGGGGTTCACATGCTCTCAATGGCCTTTTTCACCATTATCTGAAACATTAAATGCATCTTGGCCAATCCCATACCACTGCTGCTGACAGAACTTTACTCAGTAGTCAGTACTATATGGTAATTAGCGAGTGGAAAGTTTCCACTGTTTGTTATTGTCAGATGTTTCTCTGTTTGCTTCTTTCTCTGTGTATGTCAATTAATCTGTCCCCCATCTGTCAGTCGTAGGATGCATATCTCCAGCATGTACGAGCACTGTGTTCAGATGAAGCACCTCTCGCAGGAGTTTGTGCTGCTGCAGGTCACACAGGAAGAGTTCTTTTGCATGAAGGCCCTCCTCCTTTTCAGCATCAGTGAGTGTACTGCTGTTTGTGTGTGTGTGCGTGCGTGCGTGCGTGCGTAGAACAAAGTACGTATGGATACTAACACCTAATGACACATTTTTTAAAAATTATAATAATAATTAGAGGCATCATTTTTGTTTTCCGGTGTGAGATATATGTTATATAATCTTCTATAACATAAAATGAGTCAAGCTTTTCAAGTAGCTAATATAAAATATCTATATCCTGACTTTAGTCTGTCCAAAGAGCTTTTAGACTGTATTCAACAAATCAAATCACTTTTGACAATCTTGTGAATATTCAATTCATTGCAGTATAAATTATTTTTATCAACTAATTTTAAATGCCAACTCCCCAAATGTAGCTGTGTCTCACATTATGTGCTCAACCCAGTTACTGCATGATTTTCCCCAAAAAATATAATTGAAAATATAAATTAACCAACATTTAACCCCCAAATGAACTATCCCCTGCTGAGTGATAGCTTAATTTAGACATAATTTGATATTTAAGATTTACTTACTTATTTACAATTTTGTTTTTTATTTAATTTTTTTATATGTATTATTATTTTGTGTTTATATATTATTGAATGTTGATGTTATTTAATACTTATGCTAGAAAATATTAATCACACAAATACAGTCTGTATTTATGTTCTATATTATGGTAACAGGGTCACAATACTTTTAATCCTCTTATTAAATGAAAAGAAAATAAAGCTCATATAATATTTAGTGTGACCCACTGAAGGTTAAGTACCTCCTTTTATTTACCATTTTTTTAAAAAGTAAAAAAAAACTGACTTTTTTTTTTAAACTAAGAGACTAGTGTTAAGAGTTTCGGTCCCTTTGTGTAACCTGTTTGTAGTGTATTTCCTATTTGTATTACAAAAAACACCACCACCACAGTGTAATAAATCATGCAAAATGCAATAAGCAAACACACAAAATCATTACATTTCAATAAAATCATGTTCTTATTCAAGCGTATGCAGGTATGTGTGCATGTTCAAATTAAGGTTTTTATTTCCATTTGTGCAGTTCCAGTGGAGGGGCTGAAGAGTCAGAAGTGTTTTGATGAGCTGCGTCTGACATACATAAACGAGCTTGATCGTTTAATCAACTATGGCAGGAAGACCAACTGCGCCATGCGCTTCCAACAGCTGACCCGACTGATGGACTCACTGCAACCAGTTAGTAACACACATACACGCCACACACTAAAATACTGATTAGAGTCTTAAATGCAATACTGGCATGATACACTATCATTCAAATGTTTGGTGACAGTAATATTAATTAATACTTTCATTCAGCAAAGATGTATCATGTTGATCAAAAGTGACAGTAAAGATACTTACATTGTTACAGAACATTTATATTTCAAGTAAAATTTTTCTATTCTTTCAAACTTTCTATTAATAAAAAATTATGGTTTCCACAAAATAAGAAATCATTTTGAGCACCAAATTAGCATATTAAAATTATTTCTGAAGGATCATGTGACACTAAAGACTGAAGTAATGGATGCTAAGAAATAGCTTTACCATCACAGGAATAAATTACATTTTTTAAGATATTGAAATAGAAAAGAGTTGCTTTTCATTGTAAAACAATTTCACAGCACTACTGTTTTTACTGTCTTTTTGATCAAATAAAGGCAGCTTTGGTGAGAATAAGAGACTTCATTCAAAAACATTGCAAAATCTTACCAACCCCAAACTTTTGAGTGGACGTGTGTGTTCTCATACACAAATAAGACCGTTACAGGCAAATTCACTAAAAAGTTCTTTTTTTCTATTACATGCATTTTTTTAAATCATTAACAATCTGCAGTCCAGTTTTAACCAGATGCTAAACTTGCTGAAAGTGTATTTAAATTAACTGTCATTCTTTTCAGCACAAACACACCATTATATGTAAATTAGGCTCATTACTGATGTACCTTATTCACAATACTCAGCGCTATTTGAATTTTGCAGATACTTTGATCTGAAGTGACATACACTGCATTCAGGTTATGCATTTTATCAGTTGATCCATCGCATGAGACCTAGTTCTTGAGACTTAGGGTTAGTTCACCCAAAAATAAAAATTCTGTCGTCATTTACTCACCCTGATGTTGTTTCAAACCTTTGGGTAACCAAACAGTTGAAGGTTGTTTTTTTTTTTTAAATCAAATATATTTTCCATACTATGAAAGTCAATAGGGACCAGCAAATGTTTGGTTACACACATTCTTCAAAATATTATCTTTGTGCTCTACTTTCCAAGCTACTGGAATGCCTAATGCCTAATTTACCATGTTACACTTAAAGGTGCACTAAGCGAATTTTGCCAATCGATGTTGATATTTGAAAGCACCAAAACAAACAAGCCCATACCCCAACAGGATCTCGCCCCTATTTTGATATCTCCGCCCCACACGTATGTACACAGCCATAGCAACGACGAACATGGAAACAAGCGAAAATGGCACACAAACATATTCGAATAAAAGCCAACACAGATAAATTGTGAGAAACAATGCCAAATCAATGTTATTCACCTATCAGGAAGACACAACGCAACCTCGGCGTCCGATTCCAGGCCTTCCCGCTCCTTGAGTTCTCTCCACTGCTGGAAAGCTGCTCCGACATTTACGCGGGTCCTACCTCTTGCTTGATCGTAACCCTACTTTTTAATGTTTTGTTCCTCTGATATTTGCCTCTTTTTTTTCTACCATCTCTCTCTATCTATAGTCGATCTGCTAATATCCGTGCTGTGCACTCAAATTGAGCGCTCTCTTCTCTCTATCATTACTAGACACACCTCTTACTGATGATTGGCTACAAGCGTGTTTTGGGACTCTGTCCGACACTGTGGTCAAAAGCGTTTTTCAAATATTGCTTAGTGAACCTTTAATCAGAGAGTAAAAGGAATTTTATGAATAAGACTTTTGTGTACATGTTTGTTGATCATGGCAGCAGTAATTCATCAAATGATGGAGAAGATCATTAAGACCAGGAATATGTGCTGTGTAGTCAAGCACACTTTCAGCATTTTAAAGAGCTAATGCAGGTGAATGCTGTACAATCTAGGGTTGGGCAATGTCTACGGAAAGGCATGGAAAACTTATAACGTGTTCTACTGAGTCACTAAAGGGACATGGTTAGCCGCTTGCTAGCGGTAGCCTGTTACATTACCGGACATACAATTTCACTTACCACATTAAGAGAGTTAGAAGAGATGACTGGGGAAGATGGCGAATGATTTTCAGATCCTGAGCACCATTGACGAACATCTAATCTTGTAAAATGTGTGGTAAATACTGCCGCTCCGTAGTATAAACAGAGTGTGTGTGATCGCAAATCTCGAAAATGAAAGTAAAACACAAGCTCGCATTCAAATGCGGTTTCAATGCCCTGCATATTAATAGTGACTCTCTGATGCCCACAATTTATATACAGTATGGTTACCCAACGATCTAATTGCGAGAGAAAGTTTTTTTCCTCCCATCTTGTATTGATTCCCTTTAGAGGTTCCGTAGTACATGGAGGGGGGTGGGGGGGAAGGAATCATGATGCCGGCTCAACCTCGCGATGTCTGTCAGCCATCGGCAATAGATGATGGCATCGTTTATCGGTCCAACCCGAGTACAATCTCAGTATAGTATGCCAGATTGTGGTAGTCTGCTGCATCATCCACAACTGAACACTCAGAACCGGCCTCAGATGGTGATCTGCAACATGCGCACTGAGTTCACTGCTAATTTTGTTTTTGGCTGTGTTTGTGCCATTAACTGATTTATGTCATTTATTTAGTAAATCTGATTCTAAAACAATGCAGGCAGCACATGGAAATGATGACACATTTCATTCTTATTTCACATTCACATTTCATTTTTTCATGTTGTCATTTTGCTTGTTCTTGTCTCTCCTTTCCTCTCTTTTTCTCTTTTCTCTCCCTCACCCAGATTGTTCAGAAGTTGCACCAGTTCACCTTTGACCTCTTTGTCCAAGCTCGGTCTCTGCCCACGAAGGTCTGCTTTCCCGAAATGATTGCAGAAATCATCTCGGTCCAGGTGCCAAAAATCCTCGCCGGCCTGTCTAAACCAATCCTGTTTCACAAATGACAAGACTACACCCCTGAACTACTGATCCATACCAACCCTACCCAGGCCATATGAGCCAATCAGTTTGGCCTAATCCAGTTTGGTCCAGCCTAAACCAGCCTGCAATGCTTTTAATCTGGACTCGAATCGAGCGACGGGACTGAAAGATACAGATTTTTTTAATTTTCCTTTTTTATTTTTTAGAATTTTTCCCATTCTATCCCTCCCTCCCTTTCTATATCAGTCTCATCTCTCTCTCTCCTTTTGAAAAATGGCCCTGAAAAGTAGCAGGACCATTACATCATTACAGTTGTCTATCTTCTCCTCAGAGATCATTTGAGCTCATTTTCTCAAACTGACAGCATGGTGTGAAGCAGGTTTTGTTCTTTCTTTCAACCAGCAGTTATCCTTCAAGAGTTACAACGTGGTGGGCAGGTTGGAGAAAATATCACACTGAAATTTCATCTGAGCCCATAATCAAAATATCAGTTTGGCCTAATCCAGTTTGGTCCAGCCTAAACCAGCCTGCAATGCTTTTAATCTGGACTCGAATCGAGCGACGGGACTGAACGATACAGATTTTTTTTATTTTCCTTTTTTATTTTTTAGAATTTTTCCCATTCTATCCCTCCCTCCCTTTCTATATCAGTCTCATCTCTCTCTCCTTTTGAAAAATGGCCCTGAAAAGTAGCAGGACCATTACATCATTACAGTTGTCTATCTTCTCCTCAGAGATCATTTGAGCTCATTTTCTCAAACTGACAGCATGGTGTGAAGCAGGTTTTGTTCTTTCTTTCAACCAGCAGTTATCCCTTCTGAAAGGAACATAATTTGAAGAATGTTAGTAACTGGACAGTTTCTGGCAGCCATTGACTTGCATGGATGGTAAAAAAATGCTATGATAGTCAATGGCTGCCACCAGCTGTTTGGTGACCAGCATTTTATTTATTTATTTATTTATTATTATTATTATTATTGAAAATATCTTATTCAATGTTTGGTAGAAAAAAGAAAAAAACCTCTTACAGGGTTGGAACAACTTGAGGGATCATTTTCGGGTGAGCTATGGCTTTAAACGAGACAAAAGACAAAAAAGAGGCATGTGTATTTTTTACTCCGCTTTTGCTTCAATTAAATCATCTTCTATTTATCTGTCAGAAAGGAACCTCTTTACTCGCTTTCCTCATACCCCGGTGCAGCGCGTATTATCTAGACGTCGTGTCAACTGTTTCTCTCCGCACGCTCTCCGTTTCTAAATGATTGAATAATGCCTGCAGCGTTATGTATGTAGATTACTCTTTAAAGAGCCCCAAAATCGCGGCGCTGTGTTGTCTTTGTCAGGCCCGGGGTGACCTGGGGTGTACTTTCGGCAGAGCACGGAGTTTTCTGCCGAGTTCAAACGACGAGATGTGGTTTAGCTGCTCGAGCTCTTGTCGCCGCGGAGCATGTTGACGGTTTGAATGTGCCAGGCAGAGAATAGGGTGTCACAGACAGCTCCTCTGCGCTGACAGCACCGAGCACCGCGCAATTACACGCAGGTGTTTACCCATTTAGACGGCCCAAAAGCACTCATTAGAATTTGCAGAACTCCAAACTGCACTTTTACCATGCCAAAAAAGAGCTCGCGACTTTCACCACGAACACGCAACGCTGTAGGACGGAGCCGAAGCCAAAGTCTGATCACAAAGTCGTTCATTAGCCGGCGGACTTTCGGAGGCGGCACTCGCATGCAAACGCCGACTTTGCGGGAGACGCACTCTCTCGCTGTCTTATTATTGTCTGTTTACAATAGAAAGCTTGTAATATGTCAGTTAGCGACACTCTTTGTAACACCTCGCGCTGCGCTCGTGAAAATACTCGTGCTTGGATGATCCATAAGCTGACTTGGGACTTTTCTTAACACATCTCTTATGAGCTATGATGTAAAACTTTGTGTGTTGATTTTCCATTAAAGTCTTAGGGTTTACTGTGTGCGGTGTGATCAACCAGCAAAATGTGTATGTTTATATGCGCTCTTGTAAATCTGTTAGCAGGCTCTGCTTCGCCGCCCTTATAGGTGTTAAAAAGGGGAAGAAGGCAGTAAGGACATTTTTTTGGTGTCTTTTGCAAAATACTGAATTTGGCCTGTGTTGATTACAAAAAAAAAGGTTTGTTTGGATCCTACCAATGGTTCTGCTCTCACATGAACAAGAGAACCTAGAGTCTTAACAGTCTGCATGTCACCAGGATGCTTCCTGTGGTTAAAAATGGGTTTTCTCTTATAAATTTGGGGGGGCGGGGGGGATTTCTCACTGATATAGTTTCCCCATCTATTTGTGTCCTGTTTCAGCTTTGTAACCCATATAAAAACTCCCACATTTGTAACAATGACTTGGTTCTTTAACTCTCTTTGCTGCTGATATGAGCAATTACACGACTAATCATTAGCAAATGCTTTTTTACAGCTTTTTTCTCTGGTGTGAATAATTCCTGTCTATACAGAAGGAAGAGCTAGATAGTTTGGCTTTGTATGACTAGAAGAGGAAATTCTGGCTTAAACAATGTTTGTTACTTAAATCTTTGTAACTTTATAGTCTTTTTTTACAGCAGTTGTATATGTGAGAGTGGGTGTGTGTCTGTGCATGCACGCTTTTCACAGATTATTTAGTAGGCCTACTGCTATGTAATGTTGTATTGGCAGTTGTTAACTAGCGATTTTTTTCGAGCAGTTTGCGAACTGCTTTCTACTCGTGTGGAAAATGCTTATCTGATTGCTGTTGTGTAGAGCCTGTGTAAATCGGGTTTGTTTGTGTTTTACCGCTTTCAATTCAATAAAAAAAAAATATTTGAAAATCTTGAAAGTTGATCCCTGGAATTTTTTCGTGAGACACACCCTGAATTGGGTGGACCTAAACAATATCATGCAAAAGCAACTGGGCACGAGAAGCGTTTCTGTGGTGGGGACTTTTTTTTGCACTTCAGATTTTGACTGATGCACAGCTGTTTTAATTTAACTGGATTCCAAGGGTCTATTCTCCTCCCTATTATTTATTGATTATTATCATGAGGCCATTTCATTGCATAGATTTATTTCTACTTTGTGTCGGCTCAGTGCACTTTCATCTACGGCTTACGTTCATAAGAAAAAAACAAACACACTTCATTTTTTTTATTTTATTTTATTAATAAAATTGCATTTTCCTGCAGCGGTACATTCAAACGAGGTTTAGGGACTGTTAGGTATTAAGAGCTTGACAAACAGCTTAAGAAACAACAAAATATTTACATAAAATGTCAACTAGAAATTTGGAGCTTTATGATAATATTACATAAGAATGCGCTCCAGTCTGCTTCAAATTTGAAGCCGAGTTCATGCCAAACCCGCATAAAGTGACCTAAAATTTCAACCTTATTGTATCTTAAGTACCAAAAACATTGACATATACTCAATTCCCACATTTACAATTGTGTGAACATGAGGATGAGACAAAATCTTTAACTGTCACATTCAAGATTCACAATGACCAAAAAATCCATAAAGGCTCATGTTTCAGTTTAAAAGTCCAGTTAAGTTCCAAAAACTAATCTTTATATCAGTAAGGTCGACTGACAATTTAAAAAAAAAAAGGGAGAGAGAGAGAAAAGCTCATTGAAGCAAACTTTGCTCTGTGGACTAGTCGAAGTAACGAAAGGTCCTTGATCCCCTTTTTTTGTTGTTGATGGAATACCACTAGCATGTCTCGGCAGATAAAAGGAGCGACACTTTGCAATTACAGTAACTACTCTGTTTTTTTAGAAAGATTTAGAAGCAGCACCCAGGTTATTCATCTCTCTCCAGTTACTAATTACACAGATAATAACAGGTAATTAATAAAGCATATTCAGCTTCTGCGCAATTAAAAACTGATTAGTGTTGATTCGGAATATTATATAATACATCTGGGCTATACCAATTTCTATCGCTTTTAGAGTGAAGTCGGTAGTGCATCTGTAGAGTGAGATGGGAAACCATATCTTATCGGTCTCTTAAGTAGGTCACAGAAAAGGGGAGATACTGATAGACACAATAAGCGGGAGAATGGAAGGGAGTTCTCCTATTGTGTGCAGGAAGGTCCAAATGTTTAAGAAAAATGCTTTTCTTTTTGTTCTTTGATCCAAGCAAGAATCAAAGACTTAGTTTTAATAAAGTAAAGTAAAAACAGTACCTTTTCCAATTCATTCACAAAAAAACTCAACTGGAGTTGAGGAGCATTCCTTCATGCTCTGTCAGTAACAATAATGTATCTCTCAAAACCATGACCAGATGCCAGCCTGTGCCATACACGGATACACAGTCTCATGACCACTGATGTGCATTCATTGGTCCACAACACACTGATCCACAAGTTTTAGCAGTGACTGGAAGGCAGTTCTTACTTTGAGTTCTGCAAAGACAAACAAGTGACAATAATGAGCATTAACACTATAGGTTACCTTAACATTTATGAGACAACGCTTCCCCGCCATTGACATACCCACATTCAAAAAAATGTTGATAAAATGAAGCTAGAATAAAGTTTTTGTTTGTTTGATGGTTTTTGTTTCAATGCTTTCTTTTGACATATTGCATGTTGAGATATTCAAACAACAAAACATTCTGGGGGCCAATCAAGTTTTACGAAAAACATAAAAAAATGTTGGCGGTGGCTGGCAACTTTTTTTAGGGCTGGTGGGGAAAGAGTTAATAATAAAAATGAGAATGAATATGAATATGCCGTACCTCATCTCTAGAAGCTGCAGGTGAGTCATTTGGAGAGGAACTGTAGGACACAAAACAGTAAGTTATTATGAATTTAATTCTTTTCAGCAACTTCAAGGGATAGTTCACCCAGTAAAGAAAAATCAGTCATTAGTTACATTCTTGTTGTTCCAAACTTCTTGTTACATGTTTTTTTTGTGGGAAATTTTCAACTAAATTATTTCAGACTTCAGTTTTGACTTGTTACAAAGGGATGAGCACCAAAAAGGTCCTGAAAGCACCATCAAACGATTCCATTTAACTCACAGTTCACAATTCAGTATGGTGCCGTTTTAACATTTTAATGTTTGTTCACGTGTTCACTAAAACTACTGAAAACACTTTTGTTAACTGAAATAAAGCTGGAATTAAATTAAATATAGATATTAGATGAAAAACTAAAAGATTAGAAATGTTAGCATGGCAACTAACTGAACTATGTTTGTTGCAGTACTGAAATTATTCATATAAATAAATAAAAATGAAAACGGATATATTTAAACCTAAATAACGAAAAGGACCAATAGAAAGAACTTAAGAAAGAATTAAAACTCATAAAAATGATGAAAGCACATAGCAAAATTACAATAAAATGAAACTAAAATTAAAATGAAAACTGAAAATCTAAAAACAACAAAAGCTAGCTCAACAAAATAATACAAAGTATGACTGTGTAAATACTACTGATATAACACTGATGCTTAAGCCACTGCTGTTTGATGTTCAT